TGCCTTTGATAATGCAGTGTGTGGCAGTAATGGTGGCATCCCCGTTAAAGGAAACATGTTTTGAATTATTGCCAGGTCATTAAAGATAAAATAGTTCAAAAAAAAAAAAACTCATTTCCTGAGAAAGGTGTACACAATGCATCAAGCACATGGCCCTGTCAACCAGTCATTTGATTCTCAAAACTAAGCAATAGGGGCTGGGAATATAGCTCAGCGGCTTAAGCACCTGCCTGGCAAGTGCAAGGTCCTGAGTTCAATCCCTGGTACTGGGGAAAAAAAAAGAAAAAAGTTTCAATTTATATTTAAAAATAAAGGGCCGGGGAGATGGCTCAGTAGGATAAGCGCTTGACTGGCAAATGCAAGGATCTGAGTTCAATCCCCGGTTCCGCAAAAAAAAAAAAAAAAAAAAAAAAAAGGGCTGGTGAGATGGCTCAGTGGTCTAAAGCACCTACTTAGAACAAGCTTGGCAGAGCACAGGGACCGCGGTTCAATCCCCCAGCACCACATGCCAGCCAGCCCCGACCCCTGGTGGGCTGAGCTGGCCACACACACACACACACACACACACATAAATAAATGAATAAAATTAAAAAAAAATAAATAAAAAATAAAAACAAATCTGAGAAGCCCCCTCCCAAAAAAAAAAAAAAAAACCCAAAAACAAAAAACCCTACACAATAGCCCCATCTAATGGCACTGTAATCCCTGGAGGCAGCATCAATCCTCTAGAGGCTGAGGTGGGAGGATCACAGTGATTTGGAGGCCAGCCTGAACTACAAAATTTCTCAAAACAAACAAACAAACAAAAACGGGGCCAGCAAGATAGCTCAGGAGTCTAAAGTGCCTGCTTAGGCAAGCTTAGGCAAGTGCAGGGACTGTGGTTTGATCCCCAGCACCACATGCCTTGCCAGCCTTGCCCCGAGGGTGGGCTGAGCTACCAGCCAATTGTTGTTTTAGGGCTGCCAAGATAGCTCAGCACAGGAACCAGGGTTGGATCCTTGGTCCTGCATGCCGTGCCAGCCCTGCCCCCCGGGCACACTGAGCCAGCAACCAAGTTCAGGCATGGTGGGGCAGGCTTGTAATCTCAGCACTGAGGAGGCTGAAAACAGGAGGACTGATACGAGTCCAAGCTGGGTAGTGAGACCCTGTACCAGATACACAAATGAAAATAAATACCACGAAATGGGACCAGTTGCTCCCATTGCACAGGAGGGGTAATGGGACACTGAAGCCTGGAGCTGAAGCTCACCTGGACTGTAAAGCAGCCAAGATCTCCAGGAGGAGGAGGAGGAGGCCTCAGGGGGTGAGAAGTGGGGGCCTGACTATGAAGTCAGGAGCAAAAGGGGCTGCTAGTAATTACAGCAGGGGCACAGGCAGAGACAGGACTATGCCCACCAGGCCTCTGGGACACCCCTCCACACCCTCAGATGGATTCTCCCTCCCTGCCTGCTTGTCTCCATGTGGATCCCTAGAGCAGGGGCCAGGCACCAGCTGATTTTTTTCTGACTGCCCCTGGAGGGACGTGGCCAGGCTGTCTCCAGGGATGGGGTGGGCAGAGCAAGATGGGGCTAAAGACAGTGCCACTGTTCATGGCAAATGGGAGATGTCCCCTGTGGAGGACAGGAAGGGCGTGGGCTTGGTACAGGGCCTCACAGTACCAGTTCTGGTCCAGGTCCAGATGCTCTGTTGCCCTGGCCAGTTGGCTGGTTGGCCGGTCAGCAGCTGGGCGGGGCGGGGCCACCCCACCTTCCACTGCTCAGCTGCTGGGCTGCATTGCTAGCCAGATGTTCAGCAGCTGCCGCATTCCACCCAGCAGTGAGCAGCCCCACCTCTGGGGCCCAGAGAGTGGCTCTGCATACACCAGGCATGACCCAACCGGTGAGTCAGATGTCAGGCTGAGGTCTGTCACTGGGGATGCTGGGACACGGCTTGTGTGGATTGAGCTCGGATGCCAGGAGCAGACATCAGAGAGAAATTGGGCCGGGACAGGGACGTCAGGCCCCATCCCTTGGCATCCCTTGCACAGACCTCTGTGCTGACACACCGGCTTGCCCTTAGTGTCCCCCAGTGATGGGGAGCACAGGCCATCTCTCATTTCATGGCCCCTGAATGAGGATAGGGGGACCTGACCTGAATGGCCCAGTCTCTTGCGGAGCTAGAATCAGGATGGCTGTCTTATGAGCTCTGAACCCCAGGACACGCAAACCCAGGGCCTTGGAGACCTCTGGACAGAGTTTTGAGGTCAGTTGCTTGTTGCCATCTTCACCCCGAACCTTGGAGAAGGGCCCCGGGGTTTCCGCTTCCGTCAAGTACTAGAAAAGCAAAGAAAGCCACTTGGCACACAGGAAGGACCCCAGCAAATGGAGCCAGGGAGACAGAAGCAGAGACCAAGAAGGGGAAGTGGGAAGCAGCCCATCCCAGCAGCCTTGGACTCTGGCAGGCCCCAGGCTGTCCCCGAGGCCTGGTAGCCTTTCCCACCCTCTTTTCCAAGAAGTCTCCCCATGGCCTTTTCTGCTAAAACCAAGTCCAGAAGCACTTTGGCCTGGCAGCTGCGCTTTCCCACCCTTCAAGGTGGGTTTGCAGTAACCCCCACTGGCCAGGCTCCAGCCTGTACCCTGGGGCTGGTGCTCACTGTCTGGTCTGGGTGCCGCCCCTTTGGCCTTCCCACCCTTCAGCTGGATCCAAAGCCTTCCTCCTCCTCTCCCTCTTGTCGCTGGCATCCCTCCCTACTTGAGCCTCTGGACAGAGTTTTGAGGTTAGTTTCTTGTTTCCATCTCACCCTGAATCAGAGATTCACTGGGGGCCTCTCAGCACCCACCCCTCAAGCTTCCCCTGGCCCCCAGATTCTGTCTGACAAGGCCCTGTTGCTAAGAGGGATGCTTGTGGTCACAGCATCCCCCAAGTCCCCCATGGCTACAGCGACAAGAATGACTCCTGCCCCCTTCGTTCCAGGTACTATAGGGTCATTCACTGCCCATTCTACCTACTCAAAAGGTCCCCACAAACTGTGCCACATGAGGATCCCCAGTGGGGACCCCGGCTGCCCACCAGCCACAGAAGATGAAAGACATCACCCAGTTCAGTAAAGAGTCTTTTATTTCCTCATAAGTAGAACTTGTCCATGTTGCTACCTGCTCACCCCAACAGCGACAGGGGAGCCGGGAAAGAGTGGGCCTGCAGAGGCACCTGTCACCCGGATGCCAAGGCCCCACTGTCTGCTGGGAGAAGGCCCAGGAAACGGGCAGAGGAAATGCCAGGGAATCCTGGGCAGAGGCACCAGAGACTAGGCCACAGGGGGATTCCCCAGGCAGGACAAACTGGAATGGTGGCCAGGTTCCCACACCCTATGGCCTCCTTGGAGCAGGTGGGGTCACAGGGCTAGACAAGGAAGTGTCCATCGAAGGTTGAGGGTGACTAAGGGCAACATGGGGTGTTTCTGTGGCTAGCCTGAGGCTCTGTGACCCAGGTCCCCTCAGGCCCTGGACAGTCTGGCTCTGAGCCAATCACCAGCTGCAGAGGATGTGGGGTCAGACCCACCTCCTGGGAGAGCAGAGTCCAGAAAAGAGAATGCCCCCCACCCCCCCACCCCCGCCAGCTAGGCAGGCCACGCCACAGCTCCAGGGGGTCCTGAGTCTCAAATGCAGTGGCTAAGAAGGTGCCCAGGACCTGGCCTGGTCCCTGGGTTGCGGGGTGTGTGTGCCCCATGTGTGTGGTGGGTACAAGGAGCTCCAGTGAGCCTGGGGGGCAGCCCTGGCACTAGGAGCTCCAGCCCTGGCTTCACCCACCCCAAGTATCTGCACACGTACACCCCCTATTCCTCGATGCCACTCCTGCTCTCTGCAGCGGGCAGACAGGTGGGCCTACAGGGAACTTAACATAACATGCCCCATCCGGTGTGCGAAGGGTCCCAGCACCAGCTGGGGATGGACTGTGGTATGTGTACGTATGCAAATGCACCTGAACACACGCACATCTGATGTATAGACACAGGCACAGGTGTGAGTTACTGATGCCAGAGCACGCGTGCTGCTGGGTGTGCTGAGTGTGTGCCCCAGAGGACGGTGCACACAGGCTGCCTGCCGTGCGCTGTGTCCCCGGCTGGGAAGTAGCGATGGGGGAGAGAGTGCCAGGCTCTGTGCCCTCACTGCCAGCCCGCACAGCGCTCGGGCAGGCTGCGCAGAATGGCCTCCAGGTTCTGCTTGTCGGCACGGATCTCGGCGAGGTCACTGTCAAAGCCCTGGATCTGCAGCTTCTGCTGCTCAGACTCCTGCTCCAGCAGCCTCAGTTTCCCCTGCAGGGCCCCCTGTGAGCCCAGCTGCAGCTGCAAACCTTCCAGGGCCCGCTGGGTCTCGCGCAGGGCATGGGCGGGTGCACCGTGGGTGTCCAGGGACCCTGCGGGGGACAGAGGCAGCCTCAGCAGGAGCTGGGTACCCTGCTGGCCTCAGGAACCTGCTCAGTCCCCACCCTGAGCCTGTGCCTGGCTCAAGCTTCTAGGACACTGGATGTCAGGAAAATAGGGGGCCAGGAGGCCCATAGCCTGGGACCCCATCACATCACTGCAGACTTGGGAGCTGTGCGCCTGGGTAACTGTTCCTGGTGGGGATTTTGCTGCTGTTATTGCTTAAACAAGGCCTTGGACAGTCTTTTCTGAGCTTGTTTCCTCAGCTCCTGGGGCAGAGATGGGCAGGGACTCCTGCCGGCTCAAATACACTGCGTCACTGCACCCCAAATGCACATGTGTGGGCACAGGTGGGGGCTCTGTGAGCTCACAATCTTGGCTTTCCACAAGGGCTGGGGAGCACACGGGTGAGGGAGGGCCGCTCACTCCTGGAACAGCAGACAAGTGGGTGAGCCACTCACTCACGCTGCCACTTGTAAGCTGGCCCTTGTTACCTTGTCACTTTGTCACCAAGTGTGACATCTGACAGAAAGAAGGAACCCACAGAGAAGTCAGTCCTGCAGGATGTCACTGGACCCTAGAGCTCCCCTGAATTTCCAGGCAATCAGGTTGGGTCTGAGGCTCAGGAGAGGCCGAGGAGGCCACAGGGCTGCTGGCCTGGGATGGTGCTTCCTCCAACAAGCACGAGAGGCCTCGCCCTGCCCGGGAGGGCAAGCAGCCCAGCCTTTGAGGACACTGATCAGGCTCCAGCCACCGCTATACCCGCCCAGGTGGCCTGGGGCCTGCTGTCAAGACCCAGGGAATGAATGAATGAGTGAATGAAAGAATGAGTTAATGAACAAACAAACGAAAACATCAACAGCCCGGTAGAGCATTTGCAGCAGGCCAGGGGTCAGGTGAGAGTCACACGTCACCCACAGCTTCTCCACTACCTGGCTGCAGGATCCTGCGCACACCATCTAAGCACTCTGTGCCTCAGTTTCCTCGCTTGCAAAATGGCAAAAGGATAACTGGCCATGCTTTCACTTATTCACAGTGATGATTAAAACAGGTGCTGTGGCACAGGTTAGCTTTGAAGACACTGTTCCAAGCGAAGTGAGCCAGCCAGGAAGGGCAGCCTGGGCTAAGCAGTGAAAGTAACAGGAAAGACAGTGGTGGGTGCTGGGGGTGGAAGACAGGAGGAAGAGCTCAGTGTTCTTTGTTCTGTTTTTGTTTTTTTTTTTTTCCTGTATTTAGTACAGGGTCTACAGGTTCTCACTATGTAGATCAGACTCGTAGTGATTCTCCTGTTTTTAGCCTCCCAAGGGCTGAGATTACAGGCGCGCACCACCAAGCCCAGTCTCAACGTCTCAGCATGCCCCAGGGGTGGGGCTGGCACAGCAGGTCTGGGATTGAACCCCGGCCTGTGCTCTGCCTAAGCAGGCGCTTTAGTCCACTGAGCTATCAGGCCGGCCCTGTTTTTATTTTTGGAGGCAGGGTCTTACTATATGGTTCAGGCTTGTCCTAAACTCCTGGTCTGTCTGATCTGAACCCAGCCCCGATCCTGACACTGGCCGTGCTCCTGGAGCCTTCTCTTCCAGAGTTGTCCCTGCTGTCCCCTCTCCCCTAGGCTGGAGTTCCGGAGGCATTCGGGGCTCTTCCCAGTGAGCTTGCCTCAGGATTCAGCCTTGGGGTCCCCTTACCCAGCTTGGCAAGCAGCTCTGATAAGGCCTGGATGTCCTTCTCCAGGGAGATGCGCGACGCTCGGATCTGCTGCTCCACTGAGCTCAGCCCAGCACCCACCTTGGGGACAGAGACAGTATGAGTGGCTCTGTCGTGGGTGCCAGGGGCAAGGGCACGGCAGGCCGGCACACCTACCTGCTTAGCTTCTTCCAGCTCCTGCCTGCGTGTCCCTGAGGTCAGCGTCAGCTGCGAAGCCTGCTGGAGCGTGGTCCGTGCCTGGCTGGCTAGCTGGCTGGCACGCCGGTGCCCCTGCTTCCCGTGCTGCAGCGAGGCCTTGGCGAGCTACGGGGGCAGTGGCAGGGAGAGAAGGGGGCAGCGTGAGTCCTTCGGGCAAAGCGCTCTGACGGCCCTTCACACACCAGAGCACGCCAGCACTTGCCCGTTTATTCATTCAAATGTCAGTAAGCAGCTTCTGGGCCCGTGCAAACTTTTGAAATGATGTATTTCTCCCCAGAGTGGGGAAAGAGAGGCACAGAGAAAGGGAGGCCGATATCTGGGGAAGGAGAAGTCAAGCCTTCGCTTCAATCCTGTCACAAGGACCGTGTGCATGGAACACACAGTGACAGCCTCTAGGCTGGTGCCCCGCACACTGGTTGGGATTTGGTCCCTTAAAGAAGCAC